TTATAATATGTGTGTAATAAGCCTAGAGATGATGAAGATTACGATTTGAAGAACAAAAAAGATATATTTAGTTGTTGTTGGCTGACGGTATTGCTAATGAATGGTTAAATGAATTACAAAATAATAATAAATAATTATATAATTGATTAATGTTGAAATATTTCATACACATCTAGAGTTATATTAATTTAAATAGCATTGGGGCAGGTAAAATGAAGAACTTAATGAATCTATAATAAAAATGCTATTGCCATAAATCGATTGAGTAGTTAATTCAGTGCGGGAAAAAACGAAGATAGTGTTACATTAATAGAGTTCTGTAGAGAAAATTCTCCTACCAGATGGATGATGTCTTGGATGGGTCTTGTGGAGTGGGCTGCGATAGGGCTTGGTAATCACTTTTTGCGGTGGTTGCCACGGGACATCGTCGGTGCTGGTTGGCGGTGCGTAGCGAGGATTTCTCGATGGATCTTGTCTGCCTGTTCGAGCCGATGGAAGAAGATGTTCGTGGCGCAGGAGATGTCGATGGGGGCGATTATGACCTGCTCGATGCGAGGTACAGCTAGTCCTCGCATGGCGTCTTTGAGATGGTCCACTGGATCGTCAAGGTGGAGGGCAAGTAGAAGGAGCATCCACACGAATGCGCCGTTGACCACCGGTGCCGCTGTCATCCTCTGCAATCCGCTGTCCTCAGTAATCCTGTCGACTTTCTGTAATAATGTTGCAAATGTCGACGTATGGATGAACTGGCAGTCGTGTACGTGAGGCGAGTGCTGATGATCTTCCCCACACGCGGACTACAAAAAGCAGAGGCAGGGCTAAATGTTAGCACATAGAGGGATCGGGGACAGCCCCCGGGACAGAGGTAGAGGCCATGGCACAAACTTGGATGCTTATCGCCGAGACATGGAGGGAGAGACTGTGTGTGAAAAGACAGCAGCCGTCTGTCGATGGCCACCCTCCAGAACATCTGCTGATCCTCTGTCAAAACCTGTCTTGTTTTCAGGGGTCGTCTATAAAGAGTCCCTGGGGGCCCCACATGGGCTTTGGCATTTTCCTCCTCTCTCCCCAGCTGTCCCCAGCTGACCGCTCGTTAGAATTTTATTTTGACGTCAACATTTTTAGTGTTACATAAAAATAGGGGTTTACAGGTATTATCAATAAAGATATAGCATGTATACAAAATATGGGGTGGTAGTAAATAGAAAGTGTCATTATATACAGTTTAAAATATACTATATATATATATTTATATATGAAAAAACAATAGAAAAAATAAAAGTGGGTCAGGTGTTGATATTATAAATAAAGAAGGCATTTCCTGACCACGAGCACATGTGCTTTTTATATGGCGCTTTGCCATATAAAAAGCACATGTGCTCCTGGTCAGGAAATGCCTTCTTTATTTTTAATATTTATATATGTGTCCCTAGGGGGACATGGCGCTTTAAATTGGAATATATTGTGAGATAAGTAAATATATTATAATTCAATTAACTAATATATGAAAATACCTAACAGAATATTATACTCTGTATTTGTGAAATAATCATTAATTTTCCATAGCTAGCTTGTTCAATATTCTCTAGCTTTATAGTTTGCTTCCACTCCAAGCCATCTCTTCAAATTCATACCAAAAATCCGCCATGGAGAGGCCACCATCCTCACTGGCCATGTACTGGCAGACATTACACGTGTACATTCCGAAACAGACCCTACCTGTATCCACTGTTCAGAAGAGCCACAGACAGTCGATCATCTTCTCTTCAGCTGTCCAGCATTCCTTAGACATAGGATACACACAGCTGCTTTGACTGACCCACCTCAATCCTACATCTATGACCAGACTCAGCATGGAACTTCCTAGTCAACTGGTTCAACTCAGCAATCAAAACAGGACGCGAGTAAAAACGCTCAACACTAAGTCCATACTGGTGAGCTGGACTCCCCGGGTAGTTGGTGTTCTGGGCTCCCTGGGTTATAAATATCTCTCTCTCTTTATATAGTTTGTGTTTATTAATAATTGTCGACTAGTCGTACTGACGTCATCAATAAATACTTTTACATCTTAAGATATACAAATATTTGTTTCTTCACTACAATATATATAAGCCATAAAATAATAATTTTCAAATAAATGAATAGTAATTTTAATTGAATCTTTTATAGAGAATTTCCATCAGCATTTTTTTGAAAATTTCACACATCCAAAAGTTTGCCCTTTAATAATCACTGAAAAACTATCATTAAAGCAAAAAAATAAACATACAGTTAAACCTGCCTATAGTGCCCCCTCTAAATAACGCTTTCCTCTCTATAACGCCCGATTTTAAACATTAAAATGTAAACATTTTACATTAAAAGTGACCTGTCTATAGCACCCCCTCTCTATATCATCCTATTTTGGTGAGTCCCAAGAGAGGGCGCTATAGACAGGTTTAACTGTATTGTGACAAATTCTGAGTAGTTAGGATCAATAGGAAAATAAATGATTAAAATTGAAAATGTAGAGAGTCTTATCAAAGATGTTGAATGTAAATTTATTAATAAAATTGTCATGTTAGTGGAAACATAAATAATTATTGAATAGAAATATTGGATTACTTTAATGGATGGTAAATAGAGATTTTAAAAGGTTCTAGAAAACATTTTCTATAGAAAATATTTCCTAGAAATTCGAATTGAAACTATTGTATCGAAGGCAAAACGTAAAAAGGTTAATAGAAGGTCTTTCTGAGGGAATAGAAACTGATTCTATGAATTCTTAATCCATAGAAAAATGTTTTTTTGATATTTTTATTTTGAAAATAGAGTAATCTATAAATAAATCTTTAATTAAAAAGGCATATATTGTATCAAAATATCATTTATTTTACCAATATTTCAGTTGGCTGAACGCTAACCTTAATCAAGATGTTATAACATATTTGTTTGACACACATTAATATGTTATAATACCTTAATAATGGTTGGCGTTCAGTGACTGAAATATTGGTAAAAAAAATGATATTTTGATCCAATATATATGCCTTTCTAATTAATGATATAATTATAAATATTCCAAATATCTTCACCTGGGTTTAAGGCTGAACATGGACTTTTTTGTTGATCTATTTTATGTATCTCAAATACCAAAGCCGATTTTTCCAAACGGAATTCCTGCACAGTTCCATTCAAATTTTATAGTCACTCAATTTGTCACATCACACGGCCAGAAATACTTACATAAAAGAGATATATCAGAAACACCAAATTGTTCCTGCGGAGAAACTGAACAAACTGCTCTTCACCTTATCTATGACAGTCCGAATTTTACAGAAGTGAGACATCGATTGTCCCTGATTTAAATGATTTAACTCTCTTATATTAATAATTATTCATTAATATATTTTATTAAATGTTAAATTCATATATTCGCTGAATAAATTAATATATTGTATTATTACATGTGTGAAGTATATGAATAAAAAAATTATGCTAAAATATTTATCAAATAGGCATACATTTAAAACATGAATATCAAAGTGACTCGCGTATGTCCACTCATGGATAAAACTAAAGGATGTTTCTCATATTTTAGGCATAAAACACTTCTTATATGCATTAATAATTGCGGAATTAATATATATAGTCACGACCGTCTTTCCTCATCGGCCTCTGTCACGGATGCGCGCGCACAGGGAGGTCACGTGCTCGCCTGCAGCCAATAAAATAAAAAATAAAAACTCCCTTGAGCCGGATATGAACCAGCGACCTAAGGATCACCGTTGTAACATCTACAGTCCTCCGCTCTGCCGACTGAGCTATCGAGGTATACAAAATGTATGAATTAGTTTACCTTATAAAGTCAACTAATCCTATTTCTACACAAAATGTACTCATACATATATTATATTATATTATTATATATATATATAGTCACGACCGTCTTTCCTCATCGGCCTCTGTCACAGATGCGCGCGCACAGGGAGGTCACGTGCTCGCCGGCTCCCTCGAGCCGGATTTGAACCAGCGACCTGAGGATCACCGTTGTAACATCTACAGTCGGGTAAAACACGGGCGTTGCCCGGGTCATTCGGCTAGTTTCTTTATATGTAAAACCAAACGTTCTCCTTCAAAAATAATCAAATGAATAAACTAAAATATATAATAATATATCAAAAATAAAAATGGCATATCCTGACCAGGAGCACAGGTGCTTTACAGAAGGCAGAACGACATCTGGTGGAACAGAAATCAACTAAACATTGATTTAGCCTGTGCCTTGGTGTTATCAAGAAATTGGGTTGGCCAAATATCAGGGAACATGTTAAATCAATGTTTAGTTGATTTCTGTTCCACCAGATGGCGTTCTGCCTTCTGTAAAGCACATGTGCTCCTGGTCAGGATATGCCATTTTTATTATTGATTTCAACACCTGACCTTTTTATCTTTTATTTTTTATTTCATTTTTTTCATAATAATATATAAGAATAACTCTTAGCTTTTATTAACATCCTATAACACGATATCCCAAACTCAGGGATATTTGCGTCAATACATTTTTTAACATCATAACAAATTGGCTATATACAAGGAGAAAGGAGAAAAAGACAAACATTTAAAAAATATATATATTTATCATTGTAGAACGAAATTTGAAAATTATATCGCAAATGTTTCTTTTGAATGAAAAATCGAAATGTATTTTAAGGAGAAATAACGATTATTTCTATCCTTAGGGATGAAGTATGAAAGGATGAATTGTGAAGAGTAATGATAAACGGAATGGGATGGGAATCGAACTCACAGTGTTCCGCTTACCGGGCAGATGCCATGTCCACTAGGCTACCCTGGACATATTTTTCCGTTCGTAAATATTAAATAAAGTAATTTATAATAAATTTTTCGTTCAAAAGAAATATTTGCGGTATAATTGTCAAATTTCGTTCTACAATCATAAGCCGCATTATATTGTATTATAAATTACTTTATATAATATTTACGAACGGAAAAATATGGCCAGGGTAGCCTAGTGGACATGACATCTGCCCGGTAAGCGGAACACTGTGGGTTCGTTTCGTATCCCTGGACACTTTATTTTTCCGTTTATCATTACTCTTCACAATTCATCTTTTCATAACTTATCCCTAAGGGTAGAAATAATCGTTATTTCTCCTTAAAATAAATTTCGATTTTCGTTTTAAAGAAACATTTGCGGTATAATTGCCAAACTTAGTACTACAATCGTAAGCCGCATTATATTGTGTTATATTCATTATTATATTTATATATATATATATATATTATATATAATATAAAACTCAAATATTTCTATATTTTAAAAATATATATATTTAATTTTATTCAATGATAATTTTACCTTTGTTATCATCGTTTTTAGAAAGACTTTCAGTTTTGTTGTATAGCTTTGTTGTAAATATGCGTAGTTAAAATATCTATCCTTTTAAATCACTAATATAGGATTAACTTTATAAATTCTATATAATGTGAAACTAACTAATGTGAAATATTTTCTCAAGATATTCAAAATAAAAGCTACTTGACGGTAAATAATTATCTTTTTCTTATCACGACTGCACCTTCAACCCTTTATCTTATCGATCCTTTGTCTTATCAACCCTTTATCTAACAACAACAACAAATTACTCATAACATATATATAATAATTATTATTATTATATATGCCAAAAGGTATAACTTCCTTAAGTTTTATCTATGAGGGTGATTATAAAAACAATTTATAAAATTTCAGTTTTCAGCATCGCCATATGCTCGCCCGCACTCTATCAGAATATTGAACAGCCTCCATGAATATTTAGCAGCTTGTCACCATGACAGACAGAACTGTAATTTAAAACTCTTTTCTTTACTTGACAAATGCCTTCAAGTACAGCGTTGAAAGAAAAAGGCAATTAAATTTAACTGCCTTCTATGGAAATTCCTTAGGGAATAATGACTATTGCTTTTTTTTATTTTAGCTTAATGTGGTTGTTATGACTTTACTGGAAACACTTTACTCTAGCAATAAAGAGAATTTAACTTAATATTTAAAGAGAACAATATCTTTTTATCTAATAATAGTTAAAATGACTTAATAACGTGTTCTGTTACAGTCAATAAATAATAAAATTATCGAATAATATTTAATTTCTATTATTCCTAACCAAAATATTTCATATTTATACAATAATATATACAGTAGAACCTCCTTGTAAAGGACACCTAATTGCAGAGCTAGTGTCCTTTAGGAAGAGGTGTCTTCCAACCGGAGAGTTGCTAAATAGTAAAAATGGTATTTTTACAAATGAAAACTGTCTTTTATAGAGAGGTGTCTTCCAACCGGAGAGTTGCTAAATAGTAAAAGTGGTATATTTACAAATGAAAATTGTCATTTATAGAGAGGTGTCTTCCAACCGGAGAGTTGCTAAATAGTAAAAATGGTATATTTACAAATGAAAGCTGTCTTTTATAGAGAGGTGTCCTCTTACCGGAGAGATGCTAAATAGCAAAAATGGTATTTTTACAAATGAAAACTGTCTTTTATAGAAAGACTAGCCGAATGACCCGGGCAACGCCCGTGTTTTACCCGATTGAATGTTTTTATTCAAATACTATTTGTTACAATTATAAATTGGCGCCTTATATAAATGCATATATTAGTAGAGTATATAGTATTATATCTACATTTATGTAGATGTGACATATATATCCCTAATGATATTAGTACTTACATATGTACATAAGTATGTGTATATATATACACCTTAATAGTACAGAAGCTACATACCTATATTTTCGATATTTGCGGACCTATAATGAGGTATTGTTAACAATAGATTATTTAAGGAGCGACCCGCTCCAACACAATAGTTACAAAAGCTATTCCAAAAAAAAAAAAGCAAACGGTGACAGAGATGAAGAATTATTAAGAAGCCACACTTCCAAGAGCCCAGGGAAGACTGGTGTGGTCGTACTTCTCCCAAGGAAATCGCCACTTAGCTTCCTAATTATCCTATAGGTTCCGTTAAACCCACAAATATCTAACTACTCATTTAATATTCTTTTGATTTTCTTTTTTAATAATTATGTTATCATCCACAATCAACAAAAATCATCAAAATACATTCTCACTCTGAATACTCGAAACTATTATAGACGCGTATGATTCTTTTAAAAATTAAACAATTTCTACTGCTCTTACTGCAATGGAAAATTTGAAGGGAGGGCCTGTCTCATCAGTGGTGAACCCTCCCAGCGGTTTCGCCATTTTAATCTATCAAACCGCTCTTATATTTCCTTTTTTGGAACTTCCTTTTATAGTGATACTGATGGTAGACTCTTGGAATGGGTATTTTAGATGAACTATGGACATAAGCTTTGAGGACAGCAGAATTACATACAATTATAGATATATAATATGCTTCGAGCAATCGCTCTTCCGCAAACTTTAAAATTTAGTTCTAAAAAATGCAATATAACAGCGGTATGGTATATTAAACTGACGAAATCGCTGGGAGGGTTCACCACTGATGAATCAGGCCCTCCCTTTAATTTTTCCATTGCAGTAAGGGCAGCAGAAATTGTTTAATTTTCAAAAGAATCATACACGTCTAAAATAGTTTCCAATTTTCATTACAGATGGCGCGCTGATGCATTATAACATTCTCACTCTATTTGGCTAACTGGTCAATGGTCCCTTGAGACCAAAATCTGTACCTCGCGGTATAACATTTTTTATCACCATTCCACCAATACACCTGTCTGGCTAATGAATATTTTCTCCAACCCTTTCCATCATTTATTACAGTATCTCAAACATTCAATGGCCATAGCGATAATTTTTTCTTTGTATAATTTTCTCCACTTCAATTCTATCTATCCTAAGCATGGCATAATATTCAAATTATTCTTTTTTAGATACACAATCAATAATTACTATAAAAACCTAAATAATTGCAATCAGTAATTTAAGGAAGAAAAAAAAAAAAATTTTGCAACAAGTTTCTTTTATTCTGCAATTTGGCAAGCTTTCAGGCGTTAGCCTATCATCAGGCCGATTTCGCAAATATATATAAAAAATAATACAAAATCTAAACTATATATAGGCGTAGAACTGATCTTACCGGAAATAAACAAATTGTAATAAAATACATCGTATACACCGATACATGCAAATGTGCCGAAAACTTTAAAATAAAATTTGTTTTAAATTTTTTTATTTTTAAACTATGAAATTTGAGATACGCTAAGATTACATAAAAAGGACTAAATTAAGATTTGGAAATTACAATAAGACAAAAAACCGACTATGAATTTATACAACTAATTTAGCTATGGGATATATGAAGGTACTGCTGTGGTATATCGATCCTTCTGTTAATGCTCTTTCTATCGTTCGAAACCAAGGATTCCAGTATAAGTCTATTATGTTTGGAGAATATATTTCGGAAGTAACACTTGACTTCCTGTAGGTTGAAATGGTGGCCAGTAGAATCCTCATGTTGATAAATAAAAGATCTGCTATCTCGGTTCTTTACGTTCCTAATATGCTCTTTAACTCTGGTACCAACAGTTCGGCCGGTTTCCCCCACGTAAGAAGCGGTACATTGTTGGCAAGATAATGAATAAACCGCATTTTGCTGGTCACTCGGTTCTGTCTTAACCTGAGATTTCGTGATTGGATGTCTGACTAATTGGCCGATGGATCGAGAGCCTACAAAAACAGGCCTAATCCCAAATTTCCTCAAAACATCTGCTAGCCTTTGATTAGTAGGGGAATACTGCAAATAGCAGTTAGATCGATATACCTGCCGGTTTCGTGGAAGGAACCCTTTATAAGTGTGTTTCATCACAAATGAGGCTGGGAATCCATATCTCTGGAGGTTTCGGATGATCATCATCCGGAACATCATCCGAAACCTCCAGAGATATGGATTCCCAGCCTCATTTGTGATGAAACACACTTATAAAGGGTTCCTTCCACGAAACCGGCAGGTATATCGATCTAACTGCTATTTGCAGTATTCCCCTACTAATCAAAGGCTAGCAGATGTTTTGAGGAAATTTGGGATTAGGCCTGTTTTTGTAGGCTCTCGATCCATCGGCCAATTAGTCAGACATCCAATCACGAAATCTCAGGTTAAGACAGAACCGAGTGACCAGCAAAATGCGGTTTATTCATTATCTTGCCAACAATGTACCGCTTCTTACGTGGGGGAAACCGGCCGAACTGTTGGTACCAGAGTTAAAGAGCATATTAGGAACGTAAAGAACCGAGATAGCAGATCTTTTATTTATCAACATGAGGATTCTACTGGCCACCATTTCAACCTACAGGAAGTCAAGTGTTACTTCCGAAATATATTCTCCAAACATAATAGACTTATACTGGAATCCTTGGTTTCGAACGATAGAAAGAGCATTAACAGAAGGATCGATATACCACAGCAGTACCTTCATATATCCCATAGCTAAATTAGTTGTATAAATTCATAGTCGGTTTTTTGTCTTATTGTAATTTCCAAATCTTAATTTAGTCCTTTTTATGTAATCTTAGCGTATCTCAAATTTCATAGTTTTAAATTTGTTTTAAATTTTTTTATTTTTAATTTTATTTTAAAGTTTTCGGCACATTTGCATGTATCGGTGTATACGATGTATTTTATTACAATTTGTTTATTTCCGGTAAGATCAGTTCTACGCCTATATATAGTTTAGAATTTGTATTATTTTTTATATATATTTGCGAAATCGGCCTGATGATAGGCTAACGCCTGAAAGCTTGCCAAATTGCAGAATAAAAGAAACTTGTTGCAATTTTTTTTTTCTTCCTTAAACAATCAATAATACAATATAATGCGGCTTATAATTGTAGAACGACGTTTGAAAATTTTACCGCAAATGTTTCTTTTGAACGAAAAATTGTATTTTATTTTAAAGAGAAATAACGACTACTTCTATCCTTAGGGATAAAGTATGAAAGAATGAATTGTGAAGAGTAATGATCAACGGAAAAGTAAAAGTGTCCAGGGATGAGAAGTATGAAAGGATGAATTGTGAAGTATAATGAAA